CCCCGGGTACTGCTGTCCGCCGCGCCTGCTGGCCGATGAACCAGGAGCCTTATCAACCAGCGGCAATTCACGCGCATGCTGTTTTTTTTTTCAATTTAATTATTGTCCGTACTACTGTCATTATCATTATTATTTTTTCATTTCTTTCCACGACTGTCCGTGACTTCTTGTTGTTGGCCGTTGATCGGATAGCAGAACTTGATAGGGGTGCATTGTTTATCCGCCTGCGTCGCATAATGTTTTTTATGGTACACGGGATGCGAGGTGGGCAACGTGCTCGCAAAAAGTGACTCACAAATCAATCAGTACTCCACTCAGCAATGAGATAAGAGGAATCTGCAGAAACACGCTGCTTGGACACTGCCGAGGAAACCGCTCCTATGCCCGCCGGCTAGATAAAACACTGTCCAAATTTGGTCATGATTTTACGCATAACATTGTGTCTACGGTGCGTTGGACACCTGCGTGGCGTGCAAATTTTAGACTGTTGTAAACGTCTAAATTTTGTTAGTCAGTGCAGGAACCAGAAGGTGTGCAGCTGCTATACGTTTCGAAAATGTCGAAAGTTTGCCCAGCGACTCACGTATACAGGGTTGGTGATCCGCGCCGTGGCTTTTTCTGCTTATACTGTACCGGATTCATACGTGCGGACGGGTTGCATAGTCGCCCGGGGCCATAAGGCGCCATGGCGAGCGACGATAGGCAAGCGCGCCCGCACGCGTGAATCCGGTACAGTATAAGCAGAAAAAGCCACGGCGCGGATCACCCACCCTGTATAATGTAGTTAGACATTAGACTAGTTAGTGTCTATAATTTGCACACTTGAACTTACATCAATTTTTTGCTTGAAATCACATAATCACAGATACTTCAAGTGGATTTGTATCTTTTATTTGTACGAATTTAAACAAGCAAATGTTTTGCACACATTTCTGCGCTGATTTCTGCGTTGATTGGTGGCCACATCATTCAAATTATGGGTAATATTTGTACAAAACAAAACGTAGGTTTAGCTTTGCACGAAAGTTTGTGTAAAAACGCCACTTCAAAAATCACTCCATACGACATGTACAAAAAAGTATATTCCCGTTACTGTGTAATACATTTGGCGTGCATAAACAAGCAGAACTTTATCAGCAGCCATAAGTATGCAAAAATTCTATGCATAATTATGTAAAAACTGCACGCAGTTGTGCATAAAATTAAAATTGTTCATCATGTTATGGCTCCTTAAAATTCTGCATGTTTATGTACAACAGAATGCAAAAGGATTTAGTGTGCACACAAAGTGCTGTGATTTTTCAGTGATATTTACCATTTGAGTGTGTTCACAGTACACGGAATTTCGAAATGAAAAAAAAAATCAGTAACAGGATGAGAGTGAGGAAAACTTGGTGTTCGTCGGTGCCAGCTCTCTGACCATCGCACTCTTACCGCTCATGGCGAGGCCCATGGTGAAGACGGCCAGGGTGACGACGACCTTCTTGAGGGTGCCGGGCACCTGTGCCCAGGCCTTCTCCATGCCCTCGCTGTAGTTCTCCGACCACGTCAGGGTGGTCGGGTTCCAGCCCTTGGCGGCCTTCTTCTTGGGGCCCTGCTCGGCGCCGTGGCCCGGGCCGCCCGGGACCGCCAGGGGCGGCGCGTTGATCACCTGCGTGCTCGTCCGGGGAGCCATGGCCGCACTGTGAGGCCGGCCCCACCGACGCCCCGAGCGCGGACGCGTTGCCGTCGAGTGGTCAGGCGCAGCTGGGGCGGTAGCGAGAGATAGCCGAACGGCGTAAAGGTTCATCGATAGAAATACAATCGGTGAACGACAAATAACATAATATATGATACATACACCGAGGGGGGTATCACTCTGGTACAAAACTCGTACACCTATTCCTGAGACCCCTCAGACCTGTACTAGCGACGTGTTCGTAAATTGTACTCACAGGATAATTCGTTGTAGTCGCGTACTCACGCAAAAAAACAACAACAACAAAACAACTTGTCATTGTTCCAGCGACACGTGTCGCTGGAACGTGTCGCTGGAACGTGTCGCTGGAACAACAACAGTTTGTAATTGCAATGGCTTGAGGAACATCAGAAAAATAGGGTGTGATCAATCGCCCACACTTACTATATGAGAAACATGTAGCAAAAAATGCGGGAGTTCGGCGCCTGCAAGACTTGGGGTAGGCCATCCCGCTGTACACGCGTGCAGTGCAGGCGACATGTTGCCTACCCACCAGGCGTCATGAGACACAGAACAGCTGTCTCTTCTGTCCCCTGGTCAAACTACAATAAATTAACTACACACAAATTGATGTTAAGTTTCTCGCTGACGCTATCTTGTTGAACATCAAGTAATTAGCGGTTATGTTTAAGAGTTGTTGTACGACGACAAAAGCCATTTGAAAAATTAACAACAAATTATTTTTTACAGGTGCTCCATTTCCCCCCGTTTGAGTACTGCCCACGGAAAACGGGGTTCTCACGAAGACCTCATTGTGACCTCTTTATGATTTACGAGGTCACGATTCTTGCACTTGTGACCTCACTGGTGACCTCACAAGTGCAAAACTCGTGACCTCTCAGGTCACAATGAGGTCTTCGTGAGAGAAACGTTTTCCTTGGGCGCCCCTGCTTTCCTTCCCGCCCTCTCAGACATTTGCCGATATTTTTCTTAGTAAATATTAACGTTTTTACGCAGCAGAATTACTGACTAATTTGTTACTTCTACAGTATATTTTTTATAGTAACTGACTGATAAAAGAAATAATTGGGATGTAGGCCGAAATTGGTAGGACGAGAGGAGCACGTCAAACAAATTGTCAGTTATTTAAAAATGAACTATTTCCCATTAACCGTTTGTTCGCAACGAAAACAGCAGAAGAAAGGAAGAGAAGTTTTTTCTTCTGTTTCCTTTGCGGACAAACTGTCAATAGCTTATAAAAAACGTAATAACATTATAAAGGTTTTTACGCAGCAGGAATACTGACAAGGGGTCGAAAAAAATCAGTGACAGGATGAGAGTGCGGCTTTACCACCCACACCACACCATAACAAGGGTCATGGAGCAATAACTCGAGTGCCTCCAACACAAACACCTGCGTCCTCAGAAGTAGATACGCTTCAGAACCACGGTGATCCCGCAGATAGAGGTAAAAAACCTTATTGGCAAAGTTTAGCTGACTGGGAATTGCCGACGTTTTGCTAAAAATTAGCGAAAATGTCAGTTGACAATTGGCGGATGTTCACACTCTCATCCTTTTACTGATTTTTTCACCCCTTGCCAGTATTCCTGCTGCATAAAAACCTTTAAAAGCTACGGACAACTGTTTTCATCAGTAGTACGATATAATTTCTTCTTTAATTTCTCACCATTTTTTTTCTTTTTTCAGTGAGTTACTGACAACAATATACCGACACCCCCTATGTAAAACCGCTCACTCCCGCCGCGGAGATTTTTGCCCACTAGTGACAAAGGAACAAACCTTAGCGAAACGGAGTCACAAAGTTCAACAACATAAGCAAAACTAATCCGGGAAAGCTTTCTTATCCCAGTCGCAGTTAGTAATTCGTACAAAATAACCACTGTTATCAACAGATTTCTGTACCTTTCCCAATAAGATATCAAAAATCGTCAAACGAAAGGTACACGCCATAGTTACCTTCAGTCGAAATACCAAGCTGATAGCTCAAAAATTGTGGCCTGGAGGCTGCACACCTTGAAAATGAAACCGTTTCAGTTCGGGGTGAATATGGTTATGTTCCAGTGGACGAGCACAATATTTGTACGTGCAAAGTACGGCCTGGGTCATATGCTTTTGTTTAGTCCCAAGTCCCCTGGGATGTCGGATTTATTTTTAACAAATGCTATCAGACGAGCATTACATCTTGTAATAATGCTTCAGTGACTCGTTCGGTTATTTTAATTACAAGGTGATTGCTTCGATCACACTTCCATAAGGGATCATCCAGAAAGTACTTCCGTCGTTTGCGTAACGAAATTTCCAAGTTCCGCCTCGCAGGCTCCCATGGCGCCTGATAGGTAGGCAACAACTTTTCTGCAGTGCATGTGTGTACTGCGGGCTGGCCTATCCCGAGTCTCGCAGGCGCCGAGCTACCTTATTTTCCCGAACAAACCTGACGATAACGGACGTGCTTTCTGGACGAATTCTTCCACCCTCATTTCGTTACTGTTCTTTTTCGCCGCCCTTTTGTCGGTTCTTGGTTACTATTTTGCAGGAATACTAACTGTAATTTGCGGAATAGCTATTGTTGAGTCTAACGTTTATAACACGCTTTTGCCCTGATAGAGGCAATAGAGGCAATACAGAGTATTAAATTGTGTACGCCGCAAAAACACTGATAAATAAAGTGTTCAAATGACGTGCACATGCAAGTGCTTAACACTATGAAGCACACTTTAAAGTGTCTTACTGGTATTTAAATACTCAACGGTAAATTTGAATTTTTTAAAAATGTACAAAGCTTTATAGCCAACCCAGATGTTGACCACTTTGAAGTGTTTGACTTTACTGCTAAACACTTTATAGTATTCAAATATCCTGTCGAACACGCTATAAAGTATGCAATAACATAGTATTGAGCCAGTTGAACACTTTATTTATCAGTGAATGCTTTTCGCGGGGTCGCACAAATCAAATATCCGCGCCGCATATATTTCTGTTTCGTCTGGCCGCGAGTGTTGTTGCAGACGGCCGGGCGGTGGCGCCCCCTGGCCGCCGCCGCGGAGGCGCCGCGAAGCACACCGGCCCGTCCCGCCCGCGAGCCACCACCCCCGTCCGCCAGAGGCCGCCGCCATGCCGCCATGGGGGCTGCTAAGGGTGAGAGAGGTGGACTGTGGAGAATTATTCGCTCGTTTCCCCTCGACGGAATGCACTCATCCTCTCTCCGGCTTATACGGACTCACCTCTGCCCCCCCCCCCCCCAATCCGAGCATTTAGCCACCGCCATTTACATCTTCGGCAACCCTATTAAAGGACGGTCGTTCGGTCCATTTTGGGTCGTTTGGCCGAAAGTGGCAGGCGATTCAGATTAATTTGCACGGTCCTTTTAAGCCCAAAGGTAGCAAGCAGGGGGACTCCATTCGTCTGTCTTAGTGAGAGCTTTGTTGGGGAG